ATTCCATTAATTTTCCTGAATATTTTCTGCACCTGCTTTTGACGTTTTAAAGACCCTTGCACTTGAGCCCTCAAGTTATTTTGGATTTCCAATGTATTTAACTTTATACCATTTAGAAAATATCCTGATCTAGCCTCTCTTGGTCCAAAATGGATGATCTTTCACTTGCTTACATTGAACTCCATTTGTCATAGTTTTGCCCATTCATTTAGTCTGTCAATATCCCTTTATAATTTTATGCTAACATCTTCACTGTCTGCAATGCTGCCTAACTTTGTGTCAGCAAATTTGGATTTATCACTTTCTCTATCATTGTCCAAGTTGTTAATAAATAATGTGGATAATTGGGGCCCTAACACAGATCTTTGTAGGACACCAGTGGTCACACCCTGTCAATTTCAGTACCTACCTATTATTCCTCCTTTCTGTCACTTGCTACTGAACCAATTTCCCTGCCATGTCGATAATCTGTTTTCCATTCTTTGGATTTATACCTTAGTTAACAGTCTGTTAAAACATCCATAAACATTCCCCTGTCCACTGTCTTAGTCACCTCTTCAAAAATTCAATGAAGTTTGTCAGGCCTGACCTACTTGTCATGAAACCATGCTGGCTCTCCCAGATTAACTGAAAATTTTAAAGGTGTTCAGTTACCCCGTCCTTGATTATAGACTCCAACAATTTCCTCACCACAGATGTTACGCTAACTGGACTGTAATTCCCTGGGTTTCCTCTTTTGCTCTGGAAAAAAAAGTGGAGTGATGTGCCATTTTCCAATGCAGAGGGATGACTTCTGTATCCAGGGCACTTTGAATGATTAAAGTTCTGGCATCTACAATGTGCTCCCCTCCTTCAACAAAGCTGTCTAATGGAAATTGTCAGGCCTAGAGATTTGACACTCTTTAATTCCATTAATTTCCTCGTTATCAATGCTTTGCTTACATTAATTCCATTCAGTCCCTGTTCCTGATCCACCACTAATTTACTTGGGAGTTCTGGCAAGCTATCCTCCTCTTCTACTGTAAATTCTGAGGAAAAGTAGTTATTTAACATGTCTGCCCAATAGAGAAATTATTCAACATGTCTCTAGTGTAAGGTACTGTTGACACATTGCCTAATCCCTCTACTTACATACAACACCAAATTTCTTTTGTTAAAAGTCTGATTTTAGCCAAAATGTCTCACCTCTCACTGATAATTGAATATATTTGCCACTTTTAAGCCCATTTTGGTATCATCTGCAAATTCCGGTACTACTGGCAAATTAGGACTATGGCCAAATTATTAATATTTACACTGAACAACCACCTTTACATTACCATTCCCTGCATTCATGTTAATTTGAATTTCTTCCGTGTGCATGTCCCAGTTTCCCATCAAGTTTTTAGTACAGGAGCAGGGATATGTTGCACTTGTATAGGGCCTTGGTGAGGCCACACCTAGAATATTGTGTACAGTTTTGGTCTCCTTTTCTGAGGAAGGGTGCTCTTGCTCTTGAGGGAGTGCAGCAAAAATTTACCAGGCTGATTTCAGGGATGGCGGGAATGACGCACGAGGAGAGATTGACTAGGTTAGGATTGTTTTCGTTGGAGTTCAGATGAATGAGGGGGGATCTCATAGAGACTTAAAAAATTCTAACAGGACAAGACTGGGTAGATGCAGGGAGGATGTTCCTGATGGTGGGTGTGTTCAGAACCAGGGGTCTCAGTCTGAGGATTTGGGGTAGACCATTTAGGACGGAAATGAGGAGACACTTCTTCACCGAAAGAGTGATAAACCTGTGGAATTCATTACCACAAAGTAGTTGATGCCAAAACATTAAATGTATTCAAGAGGTGGCTAGATATAGCACTTAAGGTGAATGGGATCAAAGGTTATAGGGAGAAAGCAGGATTAGGCTCCTCTAGTGCTGCTTTGCCTGCTGTGTTCATCCAGCTCTACACCTTGTTATCTCTTATTAGGCTTTTGAGTTGGACGATCAACCATTATGAATGGTGAGGCATGCTCAAAGGGCCGAATGGCCTCATCCTACTCCTATCTTCTATGTTTCTGTATATCCTTAGGTCTATTATTTTAGCCTTTGCTGATGCTTTTTTCCTCCCATTTTAGCTGAACAGTGATTTTGTCTGCTGTTAGTCAACCATTTTGTAGTCTTGGTTGTCATGGTGACAAAATTGGTGATATTAGCTTATTCCTCAAATTGCATTCAGTAGATGTTGAAGCTTGTATGAGTCATGTTTAATGAGCCCCCTCCCTGGGTAGTGATTGATGGGAACACTGTAGAATAGTTGGATGAATATAATCATTATTTTATGAAGTTCTGCACTTGTAGAATAACAGTAAATATTTATGGGTTTGTTGTGGCCTTGGGATGCTATGGTGCCACGGTATAGATTAGACTCGATTGCGCAGTCACACACAAGTGAGTTCATGCCTGATACACTGCATGTGATTGTGATAAGGCATTCTGTGTTGCAAAAAGCATTCTAGTTATCAGGTTTGTTATATTCTTAGTAAAGAACAAAGAACTGATATACTAGGGTGCCATGTTTCACCTCTGTACTACGTAATATGCCCAGTAATAGTGTATTAATCAACCAACCTCATGGAGAGCTGAAAAATGTAAAGTTCCGGTGTTTCAAATATAAAGCATGTTTGTCTTCTGGTTCCCGTAAGATACATAATATGATGGTAGTGTGTGTCTAGGAAGAAAAAGCCAAACATTTCAATCAAATGTAATGTTGAAGTTGCTTGAAAAATCAACCCAAATTAGTCTTGCTGCGAGCATGACCAGTGGAATGAAACATGCAAAATTAAAATGGCTGCCGCCACGGTAATAAAGACTTCAGTGTGTGGTGAATTGGGAGTTGATGATGTTGTATAGGCATTTTAAATGTTTAACCAAGAGTACACCCTGCCAACTTTCACAGCAGGAGAGAAAGAGTTAAATCTATTTAATAGCTTATACATGAATGAGCAGGACAATAAAAACTTTCAGAAAACCCAGCACACATCTCTAACTAAAGTCAACTAATCTACCCACCTATTTAAATTTCAACGCCTGAGACTGGAATCAGGTGAGTATGTTGAAAATTTCATTAGATTGAAAGATACAGCCAGAAAGTATAAAAGTAAGGACACAGATGAAAGGCTGCTAGACGAACTTATTTAGGACCCTGGACATACAAATGTCATACCACATCTGATTGAGAATGGTGGAAAATGATTAACTAAGAGGAGGAAGACACTTTACAAACATTCCCATCTTCAATAATGAAGGGAGCCCAGCACATCAGTGCAAATGAAAAGGCTGATGTATTTGCGAAACCTCCAGTAAAAATGGCAAAGCGAGTGATTCTTCCTTGTGTAATTGTTACTTCGGTTAGACCCTTGGCGTGTGACTCTTATACCTATCATGTTATCCCAGCCGTTTGGTTTGTTTCCATCGGCACCTTACTTTTAACTTTTTGTAATTATCTCTCTGCCTTAATTAATTGGCTTATAGGTCATCTCTTCAGTTAATATTCAGCTGTTGACACTTTACTCACACCGTCTGACACTTTTGATCACCTGCAGAGACTAATTATTCAGTCTATCGACATTGCACTCACATCATTTTTATGATCTTTTGATCTGTGTGCCCATTGATCTTTCTGCCTATAAATTCTGTGCCTGTATGCATTTCTTTACTTCACCTGATGAAGGGGCAGCACTCCAAAAGCTTGTGATTTCAAATAAACCTGATGTTGTGTGACTTCTGACCTAGTCTAGTTACACTAAAGGAAGGATATGATTGCATTGGAGAGAGTGCACAGGACATTCACCAGAATGTTACCCAGGTTGAGGCATTTCAACTTTGAAGAGAAAGTGCAAATAGGTTAGGGTTGTTTTCCCTGCAACCTAGAAGGCCGAAGAAGCTCCCGATTGAGGTCTACAAAGTCGAAGAGCACAGCTAGAGTTGATAATAAAGTGTTCCCCTTGGTAGATGGTTCAATTACCACTGTGCTTAGGTTTCATGTAAGGGACAGGAGCTTTAAAGGGGATTTAAGGAGAATTCTTTTTCACCAGAAAGTGGTGGGTATTTGGAAATCATTTCCTGAAAGGGTGGTAGAGGCAGGAATCATTACAGCATTTAAAAAATAATTAGATGAAAGCTTGAAATGATACCATACAAAATAGCCAAGTGCAAGGAAATCCGCAAGGTTATCAACTTCAGTAGGGAAAACAGTGTGGCAGAGTATTATTTAAATGGTGATAGATTGGGAAATGTTCTTGTAGAAAGGGACTTGAAAGTCCTTGCACACTGGTCATTGAAAGCAAACATGGGAGAGGTGATAGCTGAGTATTATCGTTGGACTGTTAAGACCAAGTAATGTTCTGGGGACCCAGGTTGAAATCCTGCCACTGCAATTGGTGGAATTTGAATTTAATAAAAACCTGGAATCAAAAGTCCTGCGACGGCCATGAAATCCATTGCCAATTGTCGGAAAAACCCATCTGGTTCACTAATGTCCAATAGGAAAGCAAACTGCCATCCTTACCTGGTCTGCCATACATGTGATTCTAGACCCAAATGTGGCTGACTGTTGATTGTTTTCTAGGCAATTAGGAATGGGCAATAAATGTTGGCCTAGCCAGAAACACCCACATCCTGTGAATGAATAAAACAAAGGTGTAGCAGGCAGTTATAAAGATAAGTTGTACACACAAGAGAGTTTGTGTGCAGGAACAAGGAAATCGTACTGCAACGTTAAAGAGCTTAGGTGCAAGTAACAAAACCTTCATTTTCACACTCTCTTGACTGAGTGTGAACAGTGCAGTTGATCAGCTCTGTTTAAGAGGTCCTCAACTCTGGTGTCACTTTACTCTCTCCACAGATGCTGTCTAACCTGCTGAGTACTTTCAGTATTTTCTGTTTTATTTCCGATTTTCAAAATTTGCAGTACAGTATTTTGCTTTTCTCTTGCTGATTTAAATGCTGCTTTGCTGTTATCTACAACATGGTGCTACAACCATCAAGGGAAAAAATAGTAAAGGAAAGAGAAAGGAAGACATCTCAAGAGGCATACCTTGTGGAGAATACAGTGACCTGTATCCACTTGTCAGTCCTGGAGCTAGGGTTTAATAAATTGCTTGCCACGTTTTAATGAAGATGCTACAGATGCAGTTGTACGCTATTCCGCACCTGTTTAGGGAATCTTTAATTTTCTGAAAACACAAAACCCAAACCTAAAATCTCTCACTTTTTACTTTCTATTGCATTCATTGTTCTTTTAAAAATAGAAACCTTGGTTGCCTCTCTGACATGCTGTCTATCCTCTGTGTTAAACTTCTATGGTACCACTTCAGAATTCATCAGTCTTTGCTTTTACCAATCTGCACCTTGGCGCTCTGCTCTTTATTTAATTGTGATATATTCTTGTGGAGAAAATGTGAGTCAGATTAGGCAAACAGAATCTTCCCTTTACAGTAGATTGATTTATAGACTTTTTCATATGATTGGTATTGGCTGAATTTTCAAATAATTACAGTATTTCGTTTAAGGTGCTTCATGTATGGGAGCAAGTGTACTAAAATTATGTGATGCCAGCCGAGATTATTTGTATTGTGATGGTATTTGATGACTTGGCCACCATCTTGGGTGATCAACTTGTAAAGTTGATTAAACTGCTGCAGTTTGGTGTTTAGTAGAGACTGAGTATAGTTCTGAAGAAAAGACATGTAAAACAGTAAAAATTGCCACTTTTATCTTGAAGAACTGAAGGATTTTTTCAGTGCCAAATTATAGTGCTTTGCATAATTAGATTCTTAGTTATTACAACTTTGTTTTCTCTTCTTAGGATTCAGTACTGGGCAGGGAGAATTGAACAAGAGCTAGATCGAGTAGTCCGACAAGTCAGTGGGATTCAACAGCTCAAAGCAGTAAGTGTCATAAATTTAATGCCTCTATTGGATAGAATGTTAGACATTGTATGTTACCTACTTTATAACGGAGACTATACTTCAGAAGCACTTTGTTAACTGAAAGCTGCCTGAACTTCCTAAGATTGTGAAAGGCATATATAACTGCTAAAATGAACAAAAACAGAAATTGTTTGAGAAACTCGCAGACCTGGCAGCAACAGTGGAGAGGGAAAACAGTTCTGAAGAATAGTCACTGGACCTGAAACATTAACTCTGTTTCTTTCTTCACAGATGTTGTTAGACATGCTGAGTTTCTTCATCAATTTCTGTTTTTATTTGTTTCAGAGCTCCAGCATCCATAATACTGTTTTTTTTTTTAGCACATAAATACTAGTCTGTCTTCCTTTACATTAGCTAGCTTGTTGGGAAGTTTTAGTTGGAAAATAAAGTGACATGTGGTGGCTGGGATAGTGGGTACTGAGTGCTAACTGAGGCCCTACAGCAGTCGTCTGTTTGGCCAGTGTGGTGGTTTTTGTGTATCACTGCAGCATATTGCAGATGCACTATAATTATATAATTAGTGAACATTAACTCAAATAACTTCTATGCTTTTACATTATTCCAAGCCTTCGAGATTTAAGTCATGAACTGTGTCCTTTCTCCAGCGAAATATGGTTCCTTTGAGTCTTCTGTCTTTAAAGCACTGAATCAAGGAATCATCATTGTTTATCTGAGATCTCTGTCCAATGTACCATTCTCCTTTCAGTGGCATATGGCTCTGGTTTCACCTGATTAATAACTATTTATATGTAAATATATGTGGGGATAGATATAGCTGAATGGTCAGAAATCATGCCTCGATCATTATACTCCACTGTTAATGAAGCAGAGTTAGAAATGATCATTGTCTAATCACTGAAAGTTTTCAGTTCATCACTTGTGTAGCAGATGCATTCATACTTCATATTTCCACGTACATTCACATATTCCAATATACATTTAGATATCTACTTTAACATCCATTTGTCATTCATCTATTTGCTTAATTAGTTGAGATGCTATTAATTCACCTTACATTGCTCACCTGGTCACTTAGCTTGATTTCGTATGATTAATAAATGTTTCAAGATTGCTAGAAGCCACCACTTCTGTAGACACTTTTAAAGCATATCTCTGCAGAAGTCCATTACTCTCTATTTTGTACACAGTGACTCTTAAATAGATAGCAGAGAATTATGTTAAATGATAAGCCTTTTTTGATCAAGTTGTCTAAACTTTACTGGCACTAATCATCTAAGAAACTTTATAAAATAAATTCTCTGCTTCATATTACATAGTCCCAGGTGATACTGATGGGAGATATAGTGATAGGAATGTTTGAGTCAATGTGTTCTGGGTTGCCACGCTCTTTGATGCTTACTTAGATACAGCCACACATAAGCACAGATTTTATGTTGCTATTGGGAGTGCAAACTGCTAGCTTATTTTATTTATCCTAACTTTGCTGGCAGCTCGATCACCATGACTTGTTGATTCACCACGCAGTAGATGAGGACTTCCAGGTCACTCTGCATTAACCCACATTAGGAAATCTTTGCTATCTGTGCTAGCAAAGCAAAGAAAGTTCACATCTGCTATAGATTTACAGATGGGAGATGCAACACTGGTCTCTCAGTGGGGTTTCACATTTGCAGTATTAGCTCCAAATGTGATTGCATTTAAATGTCTTCACCATTAATTATTGTAGAATGTCTCCCTCGTACCTTATTAATGTGTATTTGCTGACGGGCTGCTGGTTAACAAATTATCTGATTAGTTAAATGCCCAACATTATAAAACACTCAATTGGGGTTATGGTTGTGGACATTATCATCTAACAAGCACTGTGCTTTTCATCTTCAGATGTAATTCTATCTGCTGTCAGAACTAGCAGTTCTAAAATCCCATTCTAATGTTTAGTATTCCAATTCAAATAGTCTTTTTCTGTTTTACCTGGTGCTACTGCAATGCATTGTTGTAAATCCGAAATAAAAGCTAATGCTGGTATTGGCAACTATAATGCTTTTCCTTAAAAAAAAAAAGACGTCCAACTGATTCACTTTATGTAGAGAACATTGCTATACTTTTCACATGTGACTTGTATGTAATTCTGGACGCATAGCAATATCACTCATTCTTAATGATCTTCTGAAATGGATTAGAAGTGATTCAGTTGCACTGTAAAATCAGCTAGCTCTGTCGGAATATCTTCACCACATCGTTTGCAACAATTTAAGTTGGCTCACTGTTACCACCTCAAGGGTAATTTTGGATGGGCATCAAATGCTGACCTTATTAGTGATGCCCACATCATATGAAGGAATTTTAGAACAAAACATGCACTGTCAGAAGAAGACCATTCACATCATTGAGCTGTTCACTTATTCAATTAGATTATGGCATTATCTGAATTTCATCCAACTGCTTTGGTAACCCCTATTAGCATTACTTATCAAGAATTTCTCAATTTCAGTTTTGACATTTTTAGTCTCAACAGTTTATTGAGGATGAGTGTTCCAGATTTCCACTAAAATAAAAGAAAGAACTGTGGATGCTGGAGAGCTGAAACAAACAAAAACAGACATTTCTGGAAAAACTAAGCAGGTCTGGCAGCATTTGTGGAGATAAAACAGAGTTAGGTTTCTAGTCCTGCGATCCTTCAGAACTTTCTGAGCAAGGGTCACATGTCTTGAAATATTAATGCTTTCTGTCTGCAAATACTGCTAATCCTGCTGAGTTTCTCCAGCAATTTCTGTTCTTGTTTATTCCAGATTTCCAGTACCCTTTGTGTAAAGTACTTGCTGACCTCAGTCTGAACAGGCTGGCTAATCTTAAAAATAAGCCCCTTGTTCTAATCACCCCACGAAAGGATGGATCACCTTCTGTCTGGATGGTGTTCTGCCACAGTAATGTGTGTATATATGTAACTGATGTATGTAAGCTTCTTGATGCTCAAAGCCAGGAAATTGACAGTCCTGTCTGACGTCAGAATCTATGGTGTGCAGTAGTTCCTTGAGCTGTTGAAAGATACAGTGATGATTTATGATAGAGATAGTGGGAACTGCAGATGCTGTAGCCAGAGATAACACAGTGTGGAGCTGGAGGAACACAGCAGGCCAGGCAGCATCAGAGGAGCAGGAAAGTTGACGTTTTGGGTCAGGACCCTTCTTCAGAAATGGATATATCCGTTGAATTTTAGCTATCAATTCAAGAAAAGCAGGGGAGGAAATTCTCCAGAAAAGTTCTCCGAAAGATAAAATTTGATGACAAAACAAGTGTTGTCCTCAAGCTGCCACTTCCAACATGCGGAACCTTGTGACTTGTGTTTGCATGCTGACTGTGCAGATTTTTTCAAAGCCTTATTTGTTACCCATACATATGCTGCTGGCTGCCTTGAAATATGGCCCATGTCATAATGCTATACAACCGCTACTGATGTTGAAGTGAGGAAACCACAGGAGCTTCATTGTCACAGTGAGAGGAGCTGAGCAGTCTTACCACTCTAGTTCTGCCGGATCAGGTCTTGTGTAAACCCTGCCACTTCCCAATAGTTCTGCTAAACCTTGGACATTGAGTTCAGTAGCACCTGGCCACTAACCAGGCAAGTCAGGTGTGTCTGAAATTGGCAGCATGGAGCAGATGGCAGATCTTTTCTGCCTGATCTGTTAATTTAATGATTCAGTGATGATCTCTCTTGCTGTTGCTCACTGAGCTGCTGCTGTATGCAGTACCAGATTCTCTTCAGTCTGGCAATAAACCAATACCAGCATGTCCAGAAAAGTTTGCACACCAGGCTGTACCTCAGTCGTTCTACACATGCAGCATGCCACTGCCATGTACTTTCATGTTTTTCTTCTGTGCATCATATGTACCTTTCCTTTACTGTACCTTTTGCTCCAGACATATGAACACAAAATCTCTGTTTGCACTGTTGCACAGTACTGAATATTGTTCCACTGTTTGATAGTGAAAGCATTCCAGGCAATTCTAATCCTTCCAGCTCAGTTCCATAAAGAAATTCCTTTACGGATTCTCCAAAAAGAAGTCAGGAGCAGGAACCCATGGCTGACTTAAAACACTGAACTCCTCTCCATTGTATAATGTCCGCAACATTCCTTGTACTGCTCTGACCAGATCACATAAATCAAGCACTTAAAATTGGATTATGTCAGTTTGCGTGATTTGAGTATCTGATTTGCCCTCTGGGGAGCTCTTGAATTGAATTAAGCCTAGTTCAACACATGCACATTTAGTTAAATTTGTTTTAAAGTTTTTTGCTTGTGTTTGCAGTGGTTGTGTCTTCACCGACATATGCGTTAAGTTGTAGAATTCTCTTCCTAACCCCCTCTGACTCAACTGCTTTAAGACACTCTCTAAAATCTACCACTTTGAAGATTTTAGCTACTTGTCCTAACACTTCCTCCATTGGCTCTTCAACCAATATTTGTATAATTACAGTCCTGTGAATCAAGTTAGAATGTTTTATTGCCATATATATGCAGGCTTTCTTGGGCTTGAAACTCTGATCCTGTACTTCCATTTAATTTAATGGTGAAAATTTATGGGTTGGGGAGCATAGAATTGAAAATCTTTTAAGCCAATGATTTAGTGTTTGTAGCTTAGAGTTTTGGTTAATTGCAGCAAAACCTGCACCTAATCAGCTGGTCAATGGTGAGTAACTGAGAACACAGGACAGTAAAAAAGGAGGGGAAGCAATGGCATAGTGTAACGTCACTGGACTAGCAATCCAGAACATCACTAGAATGTTCTGGGGACAGAAGTTCAAATCCCACCATTTCAGATGGTGAAGTTTGAATTTAATAAAATCTGGAATTCAAAGTTCTCCAAATGGTGAGCATGTCACTAATGCCATTTAGGGAAAGAAGTCTGGTGTCCTTACCTGATCTGTGACTCCAGACTCACAGCAATATGGTTCATTCTTAACTGCCCTCTGCAATGATCTAACAAATTGTTCAGTT